CGCTATTTCATCTGAGTTGAGACTTTTTCTTTCCTCCTCCTTCTCCTTCTCCTTCTCCTCCTCCTCTTCCTCCTCCTCCTTCTCCTCCTCCTCCTCCCTTCCTTTCCCCTGCTCAGTTAAAAAGCCTCCCAGGATTAGAAGGTATCTTTTTGAGTGAACTATTTTATATATATATATTTGCAACACAGAATGATTGCATTTATTGTAGGGAATTGTACATGTATAACACATTTTAATTTTTTAATCCCCTTCCCATCCCCTTCCATCCTCTTCCTTCCTTCACTCTTTAACTCTTTTTCTCCTCTTATTTTGCAAAAGTTCTACCTCTCTATTTTATATTATTTATCTTTTCTTTTGCTCTTTCTATTTTGTGTTTATCATATAAGAGAAACTATGTGTTATTTAAAATTGTGTGTCTTATTTACTTAGCATTATGGTCTCATGGTGCATTTATTTCCTACAGATGAATTAAATTTATCCTTCTTTATGGCAGAGTAGTACTCCATCATGTATAAATACATGTTTTTATCCATGCATCATCTATGGATGGACATTAAGCCACTTCCAAAATATAGCTATTATGAGTTGTGCTGTTATAAACATGGGTATGTATGTATCAGTGTAATATGATTTTTTTTATTTTTTTGTTGTTGTTTTTGTTTTTCCGGTACCTGGAATCGAACCCACGACCTTGTGCTTGCCAGGCAGGCACTGTGCCACTGAGCTAAATCCCCAGCCCCTGTAATATGATGACTTTAACTGTACTATAGCTTTTAGCATCCTTGATCATTAAGGAGAAAGGGTATATCTGTGGTGATAGCATGCACTCAGGTGTTTTTACTGCAGGGCAGGTAAATGCATCAAACTAATGTTCCCAAATTTGGTGCATATAGCAATGAAAGATATGACAAGTTATCATTGTAACTATGACCATGAATTTGGGGTACCAGTGGTCTGCTCTAGTTACAGTTTAACAAATATTTTTGTAACTGGAAATAATCATGTGTAATGGTGCTGCCATATCCCTGTATAGGTTTTGGTACCAGCAGGAGATACTGCTGTAACTAATACCTAAAATATGCAGGTTGCTTTGAATAGAGTCTGAAAGAATTTTGAAAAGCATAATAGAAAATGTGTAGGGTGTCTTGAAGAGACCGTAGAAATATGAATGCTAAGATAGTTCCTATTGTGGTTTGCATCTGGAATATTTCTCAAAGCTTCATGGGCTCAGAGCCAGAGCTTATAGAAGGTGATAGGAGTATGGGGATGCTACAGCTGGTTTGCTGTTAGGAAATGTGCCCTGGTAAGAGGTGGGTCACTGGGGGATGACCCGGGAAAGGCTATCTTTCTTCCTTGCCCCTCCCTTCTCTCTGCTTCCTGGTTGCCATACCTGGAGCAGCTTTCCTCTGTCAGACCCTCCCACCATCCCTTTCCTGCCTTGGAGCAAGCAAACCATGAACTAAACTATAAACCAAAGTAAATCTCTCCTTTAAGTTACACATGTTTGGTATTTTGTCTCAGGAATGGGAAAATGACTAAGATACTTCCAAAGAGGACAAACTTCAATTAGAGGTATGAATGACACACTTCAGCTATTAGGCTTGTAAGGTACATTTAGGTGAAATTTACCAAAATTGCTAACATTTCAGATCCACCACCCCTTAGCCACACAACGGTCATATTAGCTAGTACAGATGGAAGAGATAATCCTATTAGATAGTCATCATTTCTTGAACTCACTTAGATAATGGATGCTAGGAAAAGTTGGAAATTTGTAGTTGGTCTCTGAAAATTCTTCAGTGAGCTTCACTGGCTTACGACTGAGACCGTGTGTTGGTGAGGGAGGTCGGGAGTGCCACAGATCACTTTTTTTCTCAGTCCCTTAAGGATTCTATAGCATTCACCAAAGGCTCTCACAAGGTACATATTAAAATGGGGACCTACAGCCTGTTGTACTTTCAAAGAATTGCACTTAATTTGAAGAAAGTGGTTTCTTTTTCCATATTCTACCCTAGGCTAAATATGATTAAGGTCTGACAAGGTGTGATCAAAAACTATGGTGGATGTTTAAGTTTAAAAAATGTATTGCAGTGAAAGACACATTGTCATTAACCCTCAAAACGTTTCCGTCACTTTGAACCTTTATCTTAACATTCTTGCCACTTTCTGAAGCAGTTCCAGAAGTCATCTTTTGTGAGTGTCTTTAGTTGTGCTGCTGTGGATGCCTTGATGTTCTGAATTGATTTGCTATGTTCATTTTCACGGTAATTTTGACTTAGAGGGAGATCCAGAAGTCATATGGTGCCAGATCCGATGAATAATGTGGTGAGGACTCACCTTCATATTTTAAGAGCCTGCCTTTCCAATGGATTGCACTCAGCCACAGCAGTCACCATGTCTTTGATTACACATCATAAAGACACTCATGAAATAAGAAGCCCAGCACTGCTTCAGAAATTGTGTTCAAGGACAGGGAGAGCATTTTGAGTGGAGAGTAATGGCAGCATATCTTCTACTGTAATAATTTTTTAAATTAACATTTACCATATATTTTGGTCACACCATATACATTCAGATAGTGGTGATAACATGAGATCAGTGGGTAGGCTACAGAACAGAGGTTTTCAAACTGTGGTACGAATCTAATTAAAGAGATTCCTAGACCTGCCCTAAAACCACAGAAATACCCAAAACACCATGGGTGATTCAGGTCCTACAAAACCCTTGTGGGCCACTGCTCTGCTGCAGTGTTAATACTTACTTTCTGAAAACATGAATGTGTAAACAAATAAGTTGTGCTGATCTCAGCACGTCTCATTCAGCAGAGTACCTTATGATGGGCTTTTTAGCTGTTTTTTTTTTTGTTTTTTTTTTTTTTTTT